CCCTAACGATTCTATGATTCTATGATTTTCATGGTATTATATCGCACTAATAGGAGGTTGAGGGGAATATCGGTTATGATGAGTCAAGGAGGTTAAATGTTTAACTTATTTAACCAAAATTAATCCATGATAAGGGTGGGAAGAGTGTCCCTGTGCACTGTTAGCATACCATGACATATCTTCTCTGTATGATTGTTGTTTGTGAAACAGTGTTTTTAATATGAAAGCAGATTTGAAACTGCCTTTTTCAATGTGTAGTATAGATCTTAATCAGAATGAAATTTCAACAATAATGAGCAAAATTGACAAATAGAGGCAAGCTTCTGTTTAAAACAAATAAAAAATTTGACAGTCTACATTGTTTTCAGTTGCAGGCAGATATAAAATAACAGCCCAACAGGAAAAAGAGTTGCAGTAACCACTGCGTACAAAGTGTCTCTGGCATTACTCTGTGGACGATAGTATCATCTGGAATTTCTATCCTCACCTTTTCACAGATGGGAAAAGAAGAGATGGTGCTATGGTTTCATAAAGCCAAACTGTTTACTAAAACATACAAAACACTAATTTGTGTTAATTATTCAGTCAATTCAAGTGATGTTAATTGGGTGTTCTTTGGTTTGCTTGAGAGGGAGATAGGCTGTGTGAAGACAAAGTCAGATGCTAGGACTTGCAGTTATTAGTAGCACATAGTTAACAGCTGAAGAGATATAGAAAATGCAAAAGTCTGGTTGCACAGTTATTTGCTGTGATTTCCAGGAAGGGTGTAAACATTATGAAAGATGCATGTTTTAGTAGACATTTTTGTACTATTTGTATTTGTACTTTCAAAAAGATAGGAACATATTCTGTTTAATCTATTAAATTCTGTTTAATCTATTAAATTCTGGGGATGCCATCCAGAGGGACCTTGACAGGCTGGAGAGGTGTGCACAAGCAAACCTCATGAAGATCAACAAGGCCAAGTGCAAGGCCCTGCACGTGGATCAGGGTAATCCCAAGCACAAATACAGAGTGGGTGGAGAATGGATTGAGAGCAGCCCTGAGGAGAGGGACTTGGGGGTGTTGGTTGATGAGAAGCTCAACATGAGCCAGCAATGTGCACTGGCAGCCCAGAAAGTCAACTGTATCCTGGGCTGCATCAAAAGAAGTGTGGCCGGCAGGTCGAGGGAGGTGATTCTGCCCCTCTACTCAGCTCTTGTGAGACCCCACCTGCAGTACTGCGTTCAGCTCTGAGGCCCCCAACATAAGAAGAACATGGAGCTGCTTGCACAAGTCCAGAGGAGGGCCATGAAGATGATCCAAGGGCTGGAGCACCTCTCCTATGAAGACAGGCTGAGAGAGTTGGGGCTGTTCAGCCTGGAGAAGAGAAGGCTCTGGAGAGACCTTAGAGCAGCTTTCCAGTACCTAGAGGGGGCCTACAAGAAAGCTGGAGAGGGACTTTTTACAAGGACGTGTAGTGACAGGACAAGGGGCAATGGCTTTAAACTGAAAGAGGGGAGATTTAAATGAGATACAAGGAAAAAATTTTTTACAATGAGGGTGGTAAAACAGTGGAACAGGTTGCCCAGAGAAATTTTGGGCTCCCCATCCCTGGAAGTGTTCAAGGCCAGGTTGGATGAGGCTTTGAGCAATCTGATCTAGGGGAAGGTGTCCCTGCCCATGGCAGAGTGGTTGGAACTAGATGATCTTTAAGGTCCCTTCCAACCCTAACCATTTCATGATTCTATGATTCAAATGTTTCTGTGATTCTGAACCTTCCCTTAAAGGTAATTTGGCTAATTATGAAGCACTGTCTGTGTCCCCAAAGAGGAGGAAACAACTATTTAGAAAGAATGAAGCAAATTACCTGGTACTACTTTCACTGGTCAAACACACTAGTGGTTTTACAATTCTATGCTAATGCTTGTCTGTCAGGGAGAAAGCAGCATTTATGTTGCATTTAAATGCATTATTTGTACTTACTAAGCATTATGACTGATCTATTTTACTGTTTTCTTGTTGATATATTAATTGCCTATAAATTTAGACATCGTTTCTGGAGTTGTAAAGCCCCTGCCCTAAGAAAGTAAAAAAAGAAGACAAAGAAGAAGGGAAAAAGTTACAAGAAAGAAGAGAGGAAGCTTTTCATTAACAAATGCATAACCCAGGTCTATTGAAGAGGAATTAAATAAGCTTCTTGGTATCAAATAGAATAGTCTTCAAAATGACCAGGCTTATGATACTTCATATTTAATACCAAGTAACCAATATTATCAGGCAAATATATTTTAGCATTACAGCTAGTTTATTTCCCCTGTTACACTATACTGATTAATGCTGTAACTTAAAATATGTAGGTACTACTTTGACCTGGTACACTGTGTCTAGAAAGTCAACTACTGTTAAGACTAATGGTCATATGGCAGACTAAATAATGAGAAAAGTGCTATTTCAAGTGGATTAACTCGTTATTTCTTACCTCATAATGCAAATGACTCAGTGGCCATTAACAAGTCTTGTAGCTTTTCTGTGCTTCTACTTTCTATGGCTTCATAATCAGGCTGTAATGCCTGCCTACGGCTTGAGAATCCTGTAAAAAGAATCCTGTAAAAAATTAAGTATCTTAATGCTTCTACAGTGTTTTGACATGGTACAGCATGAAAGTTAAAATACATTATAATTCTAACTACTGTTGTACAGTTATCACCACTTTGATGAAAAGTGTCTTTGATGCAGGGATCCAAGAGAGCTAGGAGGTACGTTGGTATTAGTTTATTCCTTTTTACAGTCAAAGTGTGGGTACTCATGTTGTTCCCAAAGGCCTCGGTCACAGCCTCCCTGCTTATGGCCTTGCTGTGGGTTATCGCAGGGGCAGTGGCTGCGGCTTCTCTCAGAACATTGTGCTTCCAGGATTTTTTTTTGTGATTTTCACCTGGGGAGCAGATGTCCTTAAAATCAGGGTCTTAACATGGATCTGTTTGCACAGTGCATTTCAATTAGCAAGCATCTGCCTACAGTCTATAGTTGCCCAATTGTTAATTTTTACTGGGAAGTGTTTCATAGCTTGTTTTATTTCCTCTTTGTGTGATTTAGGTTACCATGGCCTTTACTGTGAAGAAGAGTATAACGAATGCCTTTCTGCACCCTGCCAGAACGGAGCCACCTGCAGAGACCTCGTCAACGGCTATGAGTGTGTGTGCCTTGCTGAATATGAAGGTAGGAGGAGGTTTGAATCATTCTATGCATTTCTTACGGTCTGTTCTGTTACAAACAGAGATACACAATGTCTTCCATTGAGCAGAAGTAAATCCCACGTCTAAAATTAATGGAAACAAACTTCAATGTAGATCCTGATCCTGTAATGTTTATTCAAACGAATAATTCAGATTTAGCTGGTCTGTGAGGAATGCATGTCCTTGTCTGAGGTCAAATGGCTTCTCTCTGTTCTTCTTAGGTGTACTTTTTTTTCTACTGGTTTTAAGATATGTTAGAAATTGATGCATTTTTAAAAGGAAACATAACTGTTAAATAAAATTTTTCATGAGTTTTTCTTAGGAGCCATTACATGGAAGGCTTTCCAAATTATTTTTTTATTTATTTTCTCCAGCAAAGTGAGTTAAAAACATAGTAATAAAAGATCGCTATTTGAAACAGGTAAGCACAAAGGAGTAAATATGAAAGTTTTATGTTGATTGTTCATTTAGAAGACCATAAAGCCCAGAAGCGGTAGTAGGTCTGTGGCTGCTTTCCCATGGTATAAGCAGCTATTCCGAGATATTTTCAAATGGAATCTGTCTTTGGCATTTCTGAAATAATTTATAAAATACAGCAGAAAATAATGTGTTTTGCTATACATAGTCTTTTGTCTTGCAGTGGATTTCAGCTTTATGCAGAGTAGCACATATCAACTGTCTGTGACATGTCCCTCTGTGGAGAGCTAAAATGATACTCTTTTATGTATTCTGTTTTGAATCATGCTGTGAGAACACTTTGAATGTAATTTTATATGTTATTAGTATTAAAATATATATATTTTTTTTTACATAGAGCGACTATGTTTTAATGAACATTACCCCAGCGTTTTCTCTTTAAGCATATCAATCCTTATCTGTGTTGATAAGTAACGCTCACTTAACAGCTGCTTGAGGCTAAATATGTATTTCATGCTGGTGATTGCACTGCTCTTTGATAACAGATACAGAATTCATCATTTCAGAGGCTAGTGAGGAAACCCTCAGCTTTTCGTGACAGTTTAAGGAGCACTTAACCATAACGTTATGACTTCATGATCTCTTCTCATCTGACCTGTACATGCAGCTGAAAGTGCTGTGTGTGCAGCACATTTTGCTTTGAATAAAAGCAGGGGACCTGGTCCTGCAGGCAGTTTTTGCTGATTACTGAGCGTTCTCCATTCCCATACCTAAGGTATTCAGTGACACTAATGAATAGAGCTGCAGCTCAAGATACTATGTGGGACATTAGAGGCCTCAGTTTTACCACCACCAACCCAGACCTCCTTGTGTGCAGTTCCCCTTTTTGCCTTCATACCCACCTGGCTGTCAAATAGACAAGAGCTGTTGTTGCTGATCTGGGCTGAAGTGTGTGCCAGCGGGGTACCTGTGGGCTTCTGGCTCTGCTGGCTTCTGCTGCTTGGCTGCAGGATGCTCAAACTAGGGTGCTCTGCCTTTTTACTACTGACAGACCAACCAAATGATTTCAGCAGGTCAATAGTGAGTGAGCACGTACGTGTGTGTGAGTGCGAGTGTATTTCAAGTGTATATATATATTTAAAATAAGTTGCTTCTATATATTTTTCAATTATCACTATTAAGATGATTGTTTCTAACTCATGTAAGCTTACATTGCTGTACATAACTGCAGTGTTGAACACTAGAGTACTTTCCATTCCTTTTAATCATTCACTTACTAAATTTGCTTCCATAGATACATCTGATATATTATGTGTCCAATTTTTTCCTTTTTTGTATTGATTTTTCTTTCTCATATTCTTTTCTCTAAGGACTCCATTTTCTCACTGATTTTACCTCTGCATAGTTCTGTGTCTCAAACTCTCCAAATTCAAATTCACAAACCGCCCAATTCCAGAGCACCACAGCTGGTATTCATGAAAGGGACTAGGAATGAGTAAGGCAGCATCAGCTACATGTCCACTTTTCACATGTTTTTGTCTACCCTTTTCTAGTCCTCCATCATTGTAGGTTCTGTAATCTCCACAAGCAACAGGATTCCTTCACTGTTGTTCACTGCCTCGTGCTTAGAAATGTTTTCCTGATGCCAAAACTGTGTTGCAGCTTTTATACATAATAAACGATATGAGTTTATGCTTCTGTTGACTATGCATCTTTACAGTTTGCAGGACAGTAAGGATTTAGAAACATGAACCACCTTAAAAAGTTAAAAATTTGTTTGTAATTTTTGTCATCAATGCAAGCATTCAGAATCCTGTCCTGCTCTTCAGTCTGTTGAAATTCTTGTAAAATGTAAGAAAAAGTTGAAGATAACTTAGAATTTTAGCTAAGTGATCACTTCGGATTCATTCCCAAGCAAAGATAGTAATGAGACACAGATTTAGACTTAAAACTTACATTAGTGGATAAATTTAAGCAGGTACTTTAAACGCAAGGTAATTTCACTGTGGTAGTTACATTAAAAGTCCCACCAATCATTCCTTATTCACATATGTACATTTTTTTTCGTGTTTCCATGCCATCCATGCACTGATTAGATCATTCATATATTGATGCATATAGCAGGGGCAGCAGAGTCCCTCTCCTTGTCCCCAGGTGGGAATCTGCTGTGCGTTGTCCTCCACTGTCTTCTGCAGGGCAAAGCTGCTGAATTCACATAGCCTACACCTGAGAATGAAAGAGTGAGAGTAGTGGCATGAAGTTGAGCAACCCAATAATGTACTTTTAGCTATATGTTCGAATAAATTAATTTCTCTTTTTATTGCCTTAGTTACAATTCTCAGTTTCCTGCAGAAGTCAATAAGAAGCTACCTGAACTATTAAAGAAGTTATTATGTAAAATTCGTACTGAAGATAATTATTGTTTACGTTTTATTGAAGAATGTTAGATAGCTGATTAGATTATGCTTTATTATACCACTGGTTTTTCATAGACACTCCAGCAGTTCTTGTTAGCAGCAATTGCCCTATGTCTCTGATCCCAAAGACTCACTGGGTGGGAAGAGCACAGAAGAGGCATGTGTGTAAAAAGTTTAGCTACCATAAAATATATGGCTTTAGTCTTACAGCATTAGCCTGATAGGACAGGTTTGGAGGCTGCACACCATTGTGCTCATCCAGGTGAAGTTAAGTTACCACATGTACTGATTTTGTGCTGCCAGAATAGGTCATGTTAATGGCAATTACTAATTTTACCTTTTCAGGAAGGCACTGTGAATTATACAAAGATCCTTGTGTTAACATCAACTGTCAGAACGGCGGCACTTGTGACAGCGAAGGTCTAAATGCTACATGTATTTGTGCACCTGGATATACAGGCAAGTAATTTGCACGTTACACAGAACGTTGAGTTGTCAGTGTTCACTGTGTCCAAAAGAAGACAAATACCAAGTAAGACCATGTCTCTTCAAAGAAACAAATTAATTTGGACTTTGCTGAATTGCAATCAGTCTAGTGAGAATGAACATTTCTTGATATTACTTGCAACTGCTTTGAACCTTAAAAATTTTGTGGCAAAAAAAGCCTATTACTAAAGAGAATTCACTAACCTAACAGCCATTTAACAGGCCTTATGACCTTACTGCTTGAGATTAGATTGCATTTTAAAAATAACATTTTTAAGACTTCCAGGTAAGCCAGTATACTAATTGGACACTGTTGAAACCGGAAAATGTTTCAACATTGACCTTAGTTGCTGGGAACTGAAGAAACAACTTATTCTGTTACTTTAATGTGCAATTGCTAAAAGCCCTAAAGTGCTTGTTATGAATCAATTTGCACTTTCGGAGTGATGGTAAACAGCCTATTTAATTCTTTGGCCTTGTATTTAAACTGACATGATTAGTGTAATCCAAATATATGCTGTCAAGATAATTTACAACCTGATGCTCTGTTAGTTATATAAGGTAATACACAAAGTGATAGTAATAGATAAACCCATTCAGAGCTGTTTTGTAGATCAAATCATGCTTTTTGATCTGTGCTAATTAAAGGGCATTTTTCAAAAAGAACTAGCTTTCCATTGTACAGTGGCTGTTTCTCAGAGGCACTGATTACCTACATCATTGTATAGTACTTCAGAATATACATGATAATTGTTATACCACATTTGCTTGGGATGGAATTTATATTTAAAGAAATGTGACACACATAATCTGGGTGAGATCAGTTAAGTCATTTAGCCCTCAGACTTTGTTTTCACCTGGCTGAATGAGGATAGTATTTCCTTCTTCAAGGCTATGTGAGACTTATTTATTGAAACAGTTATAGAATACTTTTGATGCTCTGAGAATAAAGATGCTATTGAGCTATAAGGTGTTTGCAGCTAGGGAAAAATTAAATGACTGATAATGTACCTGCTACATGAGGCACCTGCTATATAGAAGTTTGTTTTGTTGTTTTCTTCTCCAATATAAGGTGAAGAATGTGAAATTGATGTAAATAACTGTGACAGCAACCCATGTCACCATGCTGGAACTTGCATAGATCAGCCTGGTGGTTACATCTGCCATTGTCCACATGGATGGGTCGGTGCGAACTGCGAAATACGTAAGTTTGTAGTTTTCTAGAAATGATACGTTATTACAAAGAAATTTGTATTTTTCTTTAAATACCCATCTGCACTAATACCCTGAATCATCTGTAAATTATCAAAATTATGTTAAATGTGTTTTATTTCAGGCCATAACGTTTCAAAAGTTACTATGAAAGTTAGAAAATTCAGATTCTGGGCACCTTACTTGGAGATGTGTTGGGCTAGATTGTCAGAGATGCTATCTCACAGCTGGGCACTTAGCAGTTTGCCTTTTAATTGCACTTGCACTTCAGAGCTTACTTTATGCTTACTTTGGGTAAAGTGTACTTCCATAGTGCTATCAACATGGTCCTAACAGACCTGTATTGACTTCTGAGCACCTGCAGTTCTAGTGAAGTTTCAGCAAAACAATTTGGAACTTACTTACCTAAGGAAATAAGTCCTGTGTAATTGCGCTGTGACTTGTGTGTGAAAGCCTTTACCAACTTTTTCAGGAATAGCATTCCAACCATAGCCTGATTTCCATCAAATTTATTAGAAAGGTAAAGGTCTCAAAAAAAGATATTTCCTAAGCACTTAGCAAGACTTAGAGAGGTTCCATTGGTGAGTCTAGTGAAGGAACAGCTTCAGTGTGATCACGCTCTTTAGTATAGAGAAAAACTTCAGTGTAAGTGCACCGTTATGGAACAGTAGAGAGTCCATGAGAGGAAGAAAGTACGAAGCCCAACTGTGGAAGAGTTAAAATGGAAATTAGGCTTCATTAGTTCTGCTGCTCACAGACCTGCTTTGTATTTCCCTAATGTCTTATTCTTGGGCTACAAATGTTGTCTTTACTAAGGAGTTTAGCTGTGTGTTTAACTGCTTGAATGCTGGGTACTGTGGTCACAGATCCCTTCAAGTCATTATACAGATACAGAAGTTCCTGTGAGGGGATTTACATCACTTAGCACAGCTAAGGTGATAGATTAAAAAATAAACAGAAGAAGGGATTCAGAAAGCTCCTATAGTACATTCATAAGAAAACAGCTACATAAAGGCTGAAATAAAAAATGTCTTCTGTATCTCATTTAAACAAGGAGCATATGAAGCTTCACTTTTTAACTCTTTTATTTAAACTTTACCTATACATACCGACTGCTTTTTATGTTGATTTCTATTCATGATGTTAGTCTTTATTTTAACTCAGAAGACAACTCTGTTCACATCTGGATTAACACAAAAGCTTCATCTTGACAGGTTTATGACCTTTTCTCCCTGTAATTGTTGGTTGTGAATTCGGTTTCAGTGCTTTCTGTTGAAAGCAAAGACTGCAGAAGAGCATTATTAGCTAGTCCAGAGATAGTGACAGCGCTGCCTTTTCATTGTGTCTGTGAATGGCACACATAGTTCTCTGTGAGGTACAGAACCATCATGATGTTGGATGCTATCTGTATGCCATGCTAAAAGATGCTCAGATGAGCTTTTACTGACAAGGCGGCTGTTAGTGATACCTGAAACATGCGTGTCCAAGTGGATCAGCAAGGCAGTGTAATTCTGCCTGCCTTAGCTAGTAAGTAGTGGACTGACAGACAGATAAGTTTAGTTCTTGGAGAAAGCAATAATCATCCTGGAAGCATACTTCCCGGAGTACCTCAATGTAGTAACAATTGTGTTTCTGTTATGTTATGGAATGAATAGATGCCAAAGGGAAACAGATGGGCTTGCATGCTTTCTGAGCCCTGCAGATGTGCTATATGATGTCAGTGATGCTTGTTCTGGAGTCCTCCTTTGACTGTCATGCTCAAGTCATTAAGAGTTTGGCTGTTTGCAGACACAGATACATAGTGAAATGCATATAAACACATGGGAAAATGTGAGAAGCAGAAAAGAGGGTGGAAGAAGCCTTTTCTGCTGTCCAACTACTTGATTATTCCTGCTTCACCCTGTGAGGGACACATACCTGTAAGCATTATATATGACAGATAGGTTCAAGTTTTCATCTGTTGTTGGTCAATATTAGCTCCTCTTGACCTCATTTGTAAGTGTACGAGAGAGAGTGGATAAAACTCTGCTTAAACTTTGCTCTCTTGAGTGAGGAGATTGTCTTTGCTTTGTGCATATTCCTCTACACATAGCTTCTGTTTATAGCTGAACTGCAGTGGCCTTGCCTGCTGCTCAGGAGCTTGGATTTTCTGCTCTTGTTACACGATTGCAAACTGTGTGAGTTAAAATGATGGGAAGAGGCAACAGCCCTTTGTTGATAGTGTTTTAAGCCTTTCACTGACTGATTAGTTCCTTTATCTTGTGACTGCTGTGACAGAAGGTAGGGAATTATCTGAGTGTTAACTGGCATTGATAACTCTGCAAGGCTGATTCTCAACCGAAAATATTAGACCTTTTCCTTCCATCTCAATACTTGGAGAATAAATAATATAGTATTTTTTATGGCAATTGTTCTCAATTGAAGAGGTTGAAATTACTGTGTTTTTTATCCACCAAATCAGGATAGCTAATAGAGTGTGTATATGTAAAAATAGTAATAATATAGGAGATATTAAAAAATGCAGTATAGAAAATTCTAGTTTGGATTGGTCTTGAAGGAATGAAAACAGTAAAAGAAAGATCTTTGCATAGTCATATAAAGATACATTTTGAAGAAAAATTAAGTTTAAAATTTGAGAGGTACCAATTGTTTCTTTAATGAGCTTAACATCAGCAAATGCCTGTTGTTGCCTTGCTATTAAAGTCACTTTGACACAGAATCAAAGTAAATGATGTGTTGTTGTGGGACACTATGACACTTCACAATAGTCAGATATAAGTATGGACGTGCAGCCTCTCTAACCAGTGCAGTGGCTTATACACCAAGCTGTGAAAGCTTTCCTAAAGAACTTGGATTTTACCAGGTATATAAAGGATTATGCAAATAGAGAGGGATTGAGCTTTGAAGAAATCGCTTTGCAGAAAGGATTTAAAGCATTTTGATCTGCAGATTTTTTCCTACAGAGCTATGTATCCGTGGGAAGATCTTTGCACTCACTGCGTATCCCTGAGCTAAGAGTTGACCAACTGATGTGAGTCCAATTCTGATCATCCATATGCAGCTCTTTTATAAACAGGTGCAGCACATCTGATCTCACTGGAGTTGAGTCAATGGTGCAGTGGATTTTTGTTTGCCTCTAAAGATTGAGTCTATTAGTAAACCTACTTCTATTCATCTTTCCATATCTCCTTGTCATATTAATCATATTTCAGCAATTTGTGCATAATGGTTTATAATGTCTTGGAAATTAAATTTAAACACTGCATACTGGCTTCCTTTTTATTGGACCATCACTCTGAATGCTAGAAACAGACATGACGAAGCCAGGCTTTAGACTTCTCAGGAGAGGCACAAGCTGGTGTTTAGGAGTCATTTGACTAAATGGATCGCAATTTATCTTTTGTGATTTTCTGTTACTAGCCATGAAGGAGGCTGTTGGTACTTAGTCTTTTTTTGTAGAACAACTCTGTGTTTACTATTAATAGTTCTTCATTTTTTCAGCAGCTGTTTTATCTGCTTGAAGTGACTAACCTAACAGGATTTCACAGTTATCATCTTGTCAAAACTGTATTCTTCAATTTTCAAGTGCTGCATATACAACAAACTAGACAGGAGATAGACGTGTTGCCTGCATGAACTATGGTATTTATTATATCATCTTATGATCCTTACCAGTGTTAGCAATTCCAATTAAATAGGATTAAATTGGTCTTAATTATAAAGAAGATATTTTTCCTTTCAAAATTAAATGTATTTGCATAAAAAGTTAATGGAGCATTCACTGTAAAAGTGCTCATATGAATTCTCTAATGCCTGCTGGTTATTTGTTAATATCATTACCTTTGCCACTTCTGTCATTATTAACATAGTTACCAAGGTAAGCCAAACTATGCGGTTACTTGAAAATTATCATTATGAAGTATTTGTAGTACAGACTGTGTGGTGCACATTGAAATCTAATTCTTAATTAATTTTAGGAACATTACTATGAGAACTGAGAATACTGTGATTTTGAGCTGTCGCATGTTCTTTCTAATCTTTGGAGTATAAGATGTTAATCTTCATATTTTTATCTGGCGAGGAAGAAAGGAGGAAATTTCTCTCATCCTTATCATCCAGAGATGGAAGACATGGAGACTAAATCGGAACTGTCTTGCCATATATCTGTGCACATTAGATCTGAATTTGGCCTAATCTGACAGCCTGACAGAACTCACCGTGTGTGATGAGTGTGCTGCAGAACAGAAATAGAAACCCATCCCAAAGTGCATAGAGCACAGCTGTATTCTCTCCCTCATATCCCGACTCATCAAACTGCAGTAACAGCACTTTAGAAACATTAAATCACTGAATGATTCAGGCTAATCAAAACTCTACTGATCTCTGGAGATGATACACAAACAAGCAGATTTGTAAACTCAGCTCACATTTGCAGACAAAAAATCTGAGCAAGCCCAAGCTCTGAGATGCTCCAGGACAACCTTTACTACTCTAAATAAAGAGCACCCATTTCTTCAAACTCTGCCCAGGTGAATCCCACATGTTACAGCTTCAGTCTTTCTCCCTACCTTCCTCTAAAATGGATTCCCCCTTTACTTATACATTCCCTTGTATTTCTACCACAGATGGAGATTATATCTACAGATGCCACTAAACTTGTGATTTCAGCTCAGGTGCTTGAATCAGTCACCTGCCATCATCAACATCCTCCAGAGGTGGCTTCTAAGAATATCTTAAATTCCGAAAGCATATGCTTGATAGCCCTGTTCCCAGACTGTTTGTGACTCAGTAAAGGGAGTTTCTAAAACAGTGCAAAGCAGAAGTCCATTTGAAAAAGGAAGAGTCGTGCTAGAAATAACTTTTGCAGAGTGTCAGATTTCTGTAGTCAGAATGATTCAAGTCTATTCCTGACTTGAAATAATTTATGATATCATAGGCTTAAAAGACTGCCAAAAATGAACCCTAGAGGGAAGTACAGGTTAATTAGAAATACTCTGACGCATGCTAGAGAAAAACAGATCTGAGAACACAGGCAATTGATAGACAGTCTGTTTGGCATTGATAGACAATAGTTTGGGCATCAAGAATATTTATAAAGAAAGTCTGGAATACATAAATATAAGAAGCCTCTTCCAGATTGGCTTGGCTTTAAGGTCTACTTTGAGACACCTCAGGGAATTATGCTTGAGAGAAGACTTTAGTGGTCTCAGTACTGTAGCACCTTATGAGATGCCCTTTTTGTCCTTGAAATGCTTGTTTTGAAGTCTCTGCAGTCTGGTGGAGATAGGCCTGTGTTTCAAATTAAAAAACAAGCATGTTTAATACATATTAAATCACACGTTTTAGTAGAAGGGTTCTCTGACTATTAGAACAAAATGCATAGAGAATTGGTGGAATACTAGAAGCTTTTACATAAAACCTGCCTGTCTTTAGACAACATATAGTATAGTATAATATAATGCAAGAATAACTACATCACTTTCCATGACTTGGGTTACACAGGAGATCAAACTAGGTAAGTGTTCCTGTACCACCTTAAAAATCTACAAAAAAGATAGACGAAGAATCGAGATGGTGCTATTCGAATTTGTTGCATGTTAGGCATGGTGACATATCCATAATGGAGCCTGGGAAGGTTCAAATTACATATCCCCCTGGCTTCAAAAGTCTCCACAGAAATACTGAAAGTGAATACCATAAAGTAATTGTATAAGAATATAAAATCCTAATTAATAATAACCTTTTATTTCTTATTGGCAGATCTGCAGTGGAAGTCTGGGCATATGGCAGAGAGTCTAACAAATATGCCTCGTCACTCTCTCTACATCATAATTGGGGCTCTCTGCGTAGCATTTGTCCTGATGCTGATCATTCTGATTGTGGGAATATGTCGCATCAGCCGCATTGAATATCAAGGCTCTTCCAGGCCAGCCTATGAGGAATTTTACAACTGTAGAAGCATTGACAGTGAATTCAGTAGTGCGATTGCTTCTATCCGACATGCCAGGTTTGTTCTGGGGATGGCAATTTAAAAGAAATCTGTTACGATATGTAATTTCAGTCCATGCGTAGTGCATCTAACTGCTGCTGGCAGAGAATAAACTGCTTTGCTGTGAAAAGACAGGGTCACCGGCATTGCTCGCTGTTCTTTTTTGATTCCTATTCTGTTCTCATCTAAAGTGAGATAATCCAGCACAACTCCTTGAAAATAGAGGGGGTTCTTCAGAATTTATTTGGTGTAACTGGTGAAGAGGGACAGATACAGAGTTCTTAGCCTGTAAGATCTTCTGTTTGGGATGTATATACTCTTTAACTGATACATACAAGTAATTTGATTAAATAGCAAAGGCACGTTTATTTTTGTAACTAATTTTCCAGATTATTTAGTGAGATTCTCTTCAAATCTTCATTTTTGTGCTCCTGTTTGCCTCAACATTATGATCTTTCTTACTTGCTTTCCTAGAGATAGTGATTTTTTTTTTGACTTAATTTTAATGGAGCACTCGCAAGCCAGGGCACTCGGTGTCAGAATAATACAAAAGCAGGGCTGGAAGGGATTCAAGAGCTCAAGTGTAAGCCATTGCATCGATACTGCATTAACTGTACCTAGCTCCCTGACAATAGTTGTGTTTAAAAACCTCCAAAGGAGTTCAATAGAGTTAGAAAGAGCTTTCCTAAATCCAACCTAGATTCTCTTTGTTATGAATTAGGCCACTTCTTTATTACTGCTCTTCAGGTTGTCATGCAGAATAATTTATCATTGTTCCCTTTATAGTAATCATGTACATCAGGTGTCATGTTTGTCCTCTCCCTTTCTTTATAATAAAAACAAACAAAGCAAACCAACCTTTTTCTTCCTTAGACTGAACTAACCCATTCTTTCAGTATCTCCTCCTGAATCATGTCAGCTTCTTTATTGTTTCCCTGGGAATCACTACAGATTGTTTTTCTCTTTTTTTGAAGGATGATCCTCAAAATTGGAAATAGTTACCCAGCTGAAGGTTTACCTGTACCAAATGAATTGACTAATCACATCCTGTATCTTATTTATGGCATTCCTGTTCATACCTTTGAAAATGAAACCTGCTTACTTTTTTTTTTTTGTAATTTGCATTACAGTAGTGACTGATCATTTGATTTTGTGACCTGTTAAACCTTTTTCTCACCCAAGATCCTTTGTGCCATTTTGTTTCTTAGCCAGTATTGTTTCTTCTGTATTTGACATCTGTCTTAATAAGGTAGAACTTTCATTTGTGTTGTTTCTTTTTACCATTTCTTCAACTTGTGAAGATGACTTCAAATTCCAACAGCAGTGTTTATATATGTTCCCATTTAAATGCTTTTAAATGAATGGAGAGAGCCAAGTTCCTGTGCATTGTCATGGAGAAATGCATGCATATTGGTTGGTGATTGCTGGTAATTCGTTTTCGGAATACCTCAGTTCTGTTTCAATGCAAACTAAATATGTTAATTTGTACCACTGCTGAAGTCATCAAAGTTATCTGAAATGGATGAGGAGTTCCCACAGACTCAGTTAATCACATCTCAGCTTTGGGCGGTAGCTCTTTAAACTGTTCCAACCAGATTTACAAGAAAACATTTGTTCATTGTCAAAATATATTAGTCAGTAAATATTTTAAAAAGAAAGATGTGTACAGTTGATTTAGCATAGCAATAAAATCCATGTTCTTTTAAGTCTTCCCTTGAAGTCTCCTTTGCCACTTAGCCTTACAAGTCTTCCAGCAGGAGCTCAGCATTTCCACACCATACACACCTTGAGATCTCCTTTTTCCTTTAGTAGTGTATTGGGAGAGGAGGGAGTTGCTTTATGGCCCATAAAAAGCATTACAGTTTTTTATTATTTGGCCTTCTGAACGTCTACTGTTATGTGCTACACATCTCCAAGGGTGGAGAGCAAGGTGCAAAATGATACAGTTAATCTTTCAAATTAAACACCTCTCTCCTACTACTGTAGCAGTGATGAATGTGTCAATCCTGTTCAGTTACTACTCGCTGAAGTGCTCCTTTGCATTTCCCCAAGGACTGGAAATGGTCTGCTGAGGAACCATGTGAAATACTTGGGGTTTCTTACTTATTTCTTAAAGCAAATTTGACAGTTTTCCATCTAAGGGTACCAAGGAAATGTATACCAGCAAGGCATCTGCATTTTAAATCTGCATTTTCCCTGCCTTTTGCAGTGTCACTGGCAGGTAATGGTAACGGTAAAAGATTTCCTGTGTAAAACCTTTCGAATTTAAATAGCACCTACCAGTGCTATTTAACATCTTTGTTGGAGACATGGACAGTGGGATCACGTGCACCCTCAGCAAGTTTGCACATGACACCAAGCTGTGTGGTGTTGTGGACACACTGGAGGGAAGGAATGCCATCCAGAGGAACCTTGACAGGCTGGAGAGGTGGGCCTGTGAGAACCTCATAAAGTTCAACAAGGCCAAGTGCAAGGTACTGCATGTGGGTTGGGGCAATCCCAAGCACAAGTACAGGCTGGGCGGAGAATGGATTGAGTGAAGCCCTGAGGAAAAGGACTTGGGAGTGCTGGTGGATGAGAAGCTCAACATAAGCCGGCAATGTGCACTGGCAGCTCCGAAAGCCAGCCGTATCCTGGGCTGTATCAAAAGGAGCGTGGCCAGCAGGTCGAGGGAAGTGATTCTGCCCCTCTACTCAGCTCTCGTGAGACCCCACCTGGAATACTGTGTTCAGCTCTGGAGTCCCCAACACAAGAAGGACATAGAGCTACTGGAACGAGTCCGGAGGAGGGCCACGAAGATGATCCAAGGGCTGGAGCACCTCTGCTATGAAGACAGGCTGAGAGAGTTTGGGCTGTTCAGCCTGGAGAAGAGAAGGCTCTGGGGTGATCTTATAGCAGCTTTCCAGTACCTAAAGGGGGCCTACAGGAAAACTGGAGAGGGACTTTTTACAAGGGCGTGTAGTGATAGGACAAGGGGCAATGGATTTAAACTGAAGGAGGGGAGATTTAGATTAGATATAAGGAAGAAATTTTTCACATTGAGGGTGGTGAGGCAATGGAACAGGTTGCCCGGGGAAGTTGTGGATGCCCCAACCCGGGAAGAGGTCAAAGCC